GACATCTTAGCTGGATCTTGAGAAGTTCAAGTATACTGGGTGGGGAGGAGGGTACTGTTCATTTCAGGCAGAGGGGGCAGAATCTATAAACACGGAATGGCAGGGTATGTGTGAGGGTAGGGGGGCTTGGCTCCGAGTTGTTTGGGTCTGACCTAGCAGGTTGGGGTCATGTCATACAGGGCCATTTTGACGATTTTGTTGTTATCCTATAGGCGGGTGCTTTCCTACAGACCACTGAAGGGTGTTGTCTAAGGGCATGACATGGTTAAGTTTGTGTTTTGATGAGTCTTCCAGGTGGAGTTGGGTGGTGGGGAGAAGATGGACAGAGGGAAGATGTGGAAGCTGGGAGACCAGTGTGTGAGGAATGGGAGGTGCCTAGCCAAGTAGAGAAAAAATGAGGTCTACCTTAAGGCAAGACAATGGTGGAGGCAGCCAAGGCTGAAAAGGGGTTCTGGTCTTGTGCTGACTCAACAAGGCTTGGGATGTGTCTGTGTCCAGGAGCAATACTATATGTCCTCAGCTCCCACACATGGCGTGGCAGACATGAGGAACTCCCTCAGTGTTGGTGGGATGAACAGTGACAGACCTTTGCCCATCTGTGGGACTTGGCTTCATGTTGGTATGCCAGTTCCCGAGGAGCATTCGGAGAAGGATGGCCAGAGATAGGCTGTGGGGTGCTGTGACCAGGCTGGGACACCAGCTCCAGGGCGTTGTTGAATAGCTGACTTTGAAAGGCAGGAGGTGAGTGGCCCTGAATCTCTGGGGCCAGCCTTGACTCCAGCCTCAGTTGAATTCTGGGGTCATTTCCAGTGTCCCGGCTAGCAGTGTGGGTAAAATGGAAGGGTTTCTGGGGCCTCTTGAGCACTGTGGCTCAGCTCCCTCTCACCTCAGCTGGTGTCCTGTGTCACCCTGGTGATGCCAACAGACAGAAGAAGACAGACAGACCAAGAGTTGCTGTACAGGTCTTTTCTTTGTTGTCGTGGTTGGTTTGGTACATCTTAGCATCTGCGTCATACAAAGGGGGGAGCAACAGCCATGGCTTTTGGTCAGATTCAGGGGGCATGAGGGGGTGCCCCTCCCCTCCCCCCAGGCACTGACACATTTAAAGAAAGCAGAGCAACAAGGACACAGCACAGATGTGGGAAAGGGATTCCCCCGCGAGAGAAGGATGGTCGTCCTCACCTGAGTCTCGCTAGAACCCCCACCCCAGGACCAGCACAAACACCTCCAATCTCTCCCCAAGGAAGAAGTGGGGCAGCCAGAGCAGGGAGGGGAGTAGGGGACATGTGGGGAAGGTATGTCCTCAGGCCTGGGAGACATACATCACCTGAGCCATCTGATCCCCAGCTGCCTGTCCCATCAAGGGCATGCAGGACCCTAGGTTGGAACAGCTGGGTGGTGGGGCGGGCAACTCTGCCAGCTAGGTGCTGGGGGCTCTCAGGGCTGGGGTTCTGCCCATATCCTCTAGCCAGAGCCTGTAAGACAGCTTCTTTGCCCACCAGCTGTCCCACCTGAGAGCGACCTGGGTTGCTGAAATACTTCTATTCCCTGTCTCTCTCTCCCTCTTCCCCTGCTGCTTCCTTCCCTCTCTGTCTCTCTCTCTCACACACACATACCCCTACTTAAGAGGGTCTGTTGACTTCCTGCTTGCCTTTGCGGGGACCCTACATGGTTTTGCTGGTAAAGATACCTTCCAGGAGCTGAGGCTGCCCATGTGTGCAAGTCCTGGCTCACTGCCTGCACCCAGCTTGGGTGATCCAGAGAAGTCTTCTCCCTCATCTCTGCTGGTGAGCTCCCAGGCACGCAAGTCTGGCCGTGGTCTTCCCTGGCAACCACGCATGCCCACAGCAGGTGCTGCCCACTCCCTTGAATCTCATTGTTTTCACCATATACAAATGATTGCTCCTTCTTACTTCCCTAGCTGAAGAGTGTCTCCCTGATATGTTGTAAGTGTGCACTGAATTCTGGGACTGCTCCCTCCCAGCCTCCTAAGTGTATCACAGACACACTGTCCCACTTATGTGTGGCACACCCATCCTCCTCCCATCCAGTGGATCACACACACCTCCCACCCCAGGTACCTCATGTGAACATCCCTTCCCTGCCAGAGCACACTCCACACATATCTTGTTCCCCCTCTCCCTCCACATGTGTGTGTTGCACACAACATCTTAACTGGGTCACACGTTAGCTTCTTCCCACAGTGAGGTCTGTATGAGGAATGATAGTCATCATGTCCCCCTGGATCTGACAGTGATCCCCTGGCAGTGGTTGGAGGCAGGTGTGCCCCATGCTGAACTCCTCCCTTGCTATCACCTCCAGGAAGTCCTCTAGTCCTGCTTCTCAGGAGTAGGCCTGAGGAGTCTGGAGGAGTCTAGGCCATACCTCAGACTAATCCACCCACCCTGGAGGGTACTCTTATATGGAGAAAACCCTGAGCCAGCTCTGGAGGTACAGAGGGGCTGTGGAGACCACCAGGGACATCCTCTGAGGGTCCCAGGATATCTGACATGGCTGGGTTCCTTTGCTTACCTGAAGCTTCCTGAGCCTTGGTCTCTGCTGCCCATCTGGCACTCTCTGTGTCCTGGCACTATCTTTGAGATCTGTGGGCCCCTGTCAAGGAGGGGATGTTTTTGAACACTTGGGATCCACATCTGTGTCTAGGTGGGGCTCATAGACAGGGTCTGGGGAGGCCTGGGGCCCCTGGACTGGGCCCTGCCTATCTCTGTCCCAGGACCCCGAGGGCTCTAGAGAATGACCATCCTGCCCAGGAAAAGAGACACAGACAAGCAGACAATAGGGGTGCGAGGTGGCTCCCCATCACAGACACAGGCACAGACACAGGCCCCCTGGATGGGGGGCAGGACACAGGGGTACAGGGGAGGGGCCGGGGGCGGGGGAGAAGGGCAAATCCAGGGAGCTGGAGCTGCTGGAGCCCTGCTCCCTAGAGAAGGGACAGACCAGGGGATTTTTCTGGTTCCCTAAACATATGGATTGTTTTGTCTCATCTTTAAAGTATTGCAGTCTAACTGATATGGCTTTAACTATTGGAAACAGACAGAGAAGACACGTGTCTCTCTCTGAAATAAAAGCATAAATCCACTAACATGGAAAACCTGCAGAATGCAAACTGGGGTCAATGGGGCAGGAGCTTCAGGGGCAGGCAAGTCGCCCCCTCCCTGGGCCCTGCTTTTGGGGTTGGCCCTGGTGGGGGCCCAGCATGGCTTCTTGGGGCTCTGCCAGGGTCAGTCCAGTGGGCTTCTGAGGACCTCAGGCAGGAGCCCCCCCAAGGGTGGGAGGACTCTAGGCCAAGGACAAGGTCTCCTGTTGGATGTGGCCACCTGTGACCAATGGTTTTGGGGCCAAGACGGGGGCATCTTACCTATGTTTTTTCTCCCCAGCATGCATTCTGCACCCAACTGCCTATTCAGAGCCACACACGTGCGCACGACAGTATCAGCATATCTGACATTCTCTCAAACACATACTTCCACCACATCTAACACATACCCTTCTCCCCAGACACACGTGCCAAGCTGAAATGTGCAAACCCTACCACACATACAAGATGGCTAGAAAACAGACACAACACAGTCTTCATTCATACACACCCCCTCAAACAAGCCCACGTACACAAGGCTGCCTCCCACACACGATCCTTATCTAACACAGGGATGTGATTAACATACACACAATCTCAAGACATACGTACACTGTATTGACACGCTTATAGGTACAATCTTAGGACACACAGTTGCTGATGCAGTCTCTGCCACACACACTCATGTGTGCATAGACACACACTTTCCTCTCTCATTTGCTCCTTGGCCCCCCAGTTCTTACACAACTGACTGAGCAGGAGGCCTTGACAATTTGGGGTGGGGGGGAACAAATGTCATTTTCACACATCCCAGAGGAGAGTTTGTTCTTGGCCAATGAGATGAATGGACAGATGCCTTCTGTCAAGTGGGAACTGGCTTCTCCCCAAAGCCTTGGGGCTTTGGCCAGCAAAGGTCCTCCTGGGGACCATGGGGCCCTGGAAGCACATGGACAGGATAGGGTTGGGAAGAGGGGTGAATAGGAATGGGGGCAGCTTGGCTGTACCAATGGTGGGGTCCCATGGCATGGGCCACCGCTGCCCAATGGCTCCAAGTATTTTCTAGGGGGGCCTGGGTAGCCCCTTGGCTGGGCAAACTGGACCCAGCCTGGCAGTGGGGCCCCAGGACCCAAGTGGAAGAGGGGGAAACAAGGGGCTGCTCTACCCTGGGTCCTCTCCACAGATGAGTTAAAGTCCAAAGAGGATCCATTTGGAGGGACTGGCTTGGCAGGGGCTATGCCTCTTCGGGTGGGGTTTGGAGAGGAGTGATCCTGGGTTGGGTGTCATCTCAGGGGAAGGAGAGAAGGAGAGCCCCAGCCTTCTGCCAAGACCTAGGCCTGGCCAGAATACAGCAGGGCCTCTCAGGCTGGGCCCTCACAGGGCAGGCTTACCCTGACTCCCTTCCTCAGAGCCAGGCCATTCAACACCCCTGCCCTGACCTGGAGGCCCACTGTGGGTCAGAGGCCAAAGGTCGGCATTCTGGGCAGGGTTGGAATGTGTCATTACTTTGGCTGGCTTGGGACAATGGTCCTCCTGGCAGTGGGGTGCATGAAGGAATGTATGGGGGTTACCACACTAGCATAGACCTTAGGCTTCCTTCCAGAGGGGGCCCTCAGTACCTCTGACACTGGGTTCAATGCCCCCTACTGGGGGGGGGAGGAAGCTGTGTTCCCTTTTTCAAGCAACTTGAAGTGAGGTGGGGGCTGGATACCCCAGGATGAAGGGGGTGTGAGGGAGTGCTGAGAGGGAGGAGTCCCTGGCCGGGGAAGGGGGGCAGAGGTCAACTGAAGTTTTCCCCTTCAAAACTAAGACTTAACTGAATAAAAAGAAAAGAAAGAACCCAAAAAAAAAAAAAAAAAAAAAAAAAGGAACAAGTGGAGTGGGAACAGGGCAGGAGGGCCGGTTACTTCTTGAACATGTCCTGCAGTGGCCCCGGGAGATATTTGAGCACCGTGTCCAGGATGCTCTCTTCCTCTTCCTCCTCTTCATCCCCGCAGCCTGCAGGGATAGCCTTCTTGGGCCGGGTCAGGCTCCCCTCGCAGGGCTGCTCCAGGGCGGCCTTCTCCTCTGCCTCCTTCTCTTCCTTCTTCTTCAGCCCATACTGGGGAGGAGGAGGGCAGACATGAGCATGAATGGGGCAAGGAGAGAGCTGGGTGGGTCTCAAGGTCATGCAGGCTCAGCTGGGCCACTCCTGGAAACTCCCCAAACCTCAGTCCTCTCATCTATAAAATAGGGATAAGGATGCCTCCCTTATGGGGTTGTGCCTGTCCTTAACAGGTGCCCCATTAGCGTCCGTGCATGGGGTTTCCTTTAAAATTAATACCTGCCCCTAGTAACTTCTCTGCTCTTCTGAAATCCCCCAAGATTTGACATCTGAACGTCCTTCCTTATGTTTGGATGACAAAACTTGATCTGAGCTCATGGGAGGCTACTTACAGCCTTGATTTTTTGCAGTGGTGAGACTAGACTCATATACTGAACTGTTTGGCCGATGGTGACAGCTGCAAACCCATTGAGAGTGAGGTGCAAAGGTAACAGGTCCTCAGGCACTATGGTGTTTTCCTAAAATTCCCAAATTCTGGATTGCAAACATTTGGTCTCCAATGTCTCAGGTATAAGATTGTGGACCACAGCCGCAAACATTAGGGAGCACGTCTCATGGGCATTATCTTATTCAATCCCCATAACACTCCTTCCAGGGAGCTGTGCCTGTGACACTCACTTTACCCTCTTAGGAGAGCAGCTCTCAGAGCTAGGTCTAAAGTTGGAGCTGCGGTTTGCGGGGAGTGGGGGGGAGGGTGGAGGAGGTGCAGGGGTGCGGCTTAACCTCCATGCCTTCTACTCTCCAGGCAGTTGGGAGGTGCTGACCTTGTCTCGGATCTGCTGCCGGACCTTCTCCCGCTCAGCCTCCATGCGCGCATGCTTGGCTTTACGCTCCTCTTCCTGCTGTCGCAGAGCCTCCTGTCGCTCTTCTTCCTTCTTCTGTGCGTCTGGGTCCTTCTCCTCCTCTCCCCCCAGCATCTTCCCCATATCCTTGGTGGCCCCTAGAGTGGATGGGTTGGGGAGGGAGAAAGTAGGGTTGGGGGGTCAGGGCTGGGGATGGAGGGGCCTAGTGCTCTGCGGGTCCCTCCCAGCTGGGTTGGGACTCAGGTCGGGGAGTGAGGGGTGCTGGGCTCGGGGCCTCACCTCCAAGGGCCTGCTTCATGACGAAGTCCATGACGCCAGTTCCAGTTAGCGTGCCCTAGTGTGCAGTCAAGTTTGCATGCAGTGCTTCTGGCAAGGCCTGGCTCAGGAAGATGTGTCAACCTGTAGAGTAGAGTCGGGGATCAGACAGGAGAGGCCTCAGCTCACACAAATGGCAGCCTCACCCTGGTTCAGGCCCCAGGCTCCATCAGCTGAGGCCAGGACTCGATGCCCTGGCACCCATGGGAAGGAGATGGAAAGGGGCTATTTCCTGAGTACTTGCTGCAGGCCAAGCACTTATGTGTGGTCACATGTCTTCGGATTCTAAAACCTTCATCTTGACCATATTGCTTTAATTTGGTTGAAGCCAAGAGTGCTAGAAGGAACCCAGGAGTGCTAGAAAGAACCTGGAATTTGGAGTCAGGCAGACAGAGCTTGGTTCTTATACCTCCCTCATTTCTTGTTTGCCATGTGACATTCAGCCAGTTACTGAACCCCCTTGAGTCCCAGTTTCCTCGACTATATGAAAGAATGGCGGTGCCATTCTTTCCCAGTGCTACTGTGGAGACTGGAGAAAATTTCTGCCTGGCCCACGGGATCAACGCCTAGATGGAATGAGCACACTTAGGGCCCCAGCAAATCTTTTAAAAAAAGAACAGTCAGCTTGGATGAGCATATCCAGACTTCTGAAATTAGACAAATGGAGAAATAAGTTACTTTTATTGCAACAAACATGTAAGTTTTTGTGTTTTATAGCTTAATACTGATTTTTATTTTGAATTACACATGGGAGGTTGGAGACATGATAATCTTGGGGCTTAGGACCTTTAAAGTACCAAGCACAGACCTTGTAAGCACTCAGCTTATGTTAGTCCTCCCCTTCTCTCTCAATTACCAACTTTCAGTTTTTATTATATTTTTAATTGTCCTTTTTTTTGGGGGGGGGCCTGAGAAGGTTTTCTCCAAATAAAAACTTTTTTTTTTTTTTAAGATTTTATGTATTTATTTGACAGAGAGAGAGAGAGATCACAAGTAGGCAGAGAGGCAGGCAGAGAGAGAGGGGGAAACAGGCTCCCAGCCGAGCAGAGAGCCCGATATGGGGCTCAATCCCAGGACCCTGAGATCATGACCTGAGCCGAAGGCAGAGGCTTAACCCACTGAGCCACCCAGGCGCCCCTCTCCAAATAAAATCATAGTGGGAATCCCAATATGCAAAATACATAGAAGTGGAACTACTCTTAGTGGGGAGGGGTGGAGCTTCCCTCCTCCATTGACCTCCTTCTACTTTGTTTCCTTCAAATCCCTGAAAATTTCAACCCTGATGTAACTCTTAGATTTCCTTTTTAGTTCCACCATTCAGTTTCATGGTTTTTTTCCATAGACAAAGCCACCACAAATCCCTTTTTGGGTGTGGAGGGGAACATCCATGAGCTATCCAAAGTGTGATGTAGTCACCTGGGGCCAGGCCTCCTCCCCCGGGCCTGGGAGCCTGCACAGCCTTGGGGTCTTTATGATTTGCTAGGAGGAAAAAGGGAAACAGTGGCAGAGAAGCAGCCTGGATATCACAACCAGGTTGAGTTCAAGGTCACTGGCTTTTTGTTGATGATGGATTTTCCTCATTTCTTTCAAAATGAGAAAACATATCAGCAGACTGAGGTCTTTCCATCAAATGGGGCCCAAGAGTTTATTTGAGGACTTCTACGCGATCATACCACCTGACAGGTTGTTTGGAGGAGGGCAAGTCATGATGGAGTAGAAAAACGTTGCCAGGGGCCTTAGCATCAGACACACCTGGTTAGAAGTCCAGGCTCTGATCACTCCCGGGCTGTGGCCTCCTGGGAAAGCAGTGTGCTCCCTGCCAGTGACAGGAGTATTAAGCCTACCCTTGTACTGATATTTGAAGAAGAGGAGATCCTGGTCAAGTGCCTGGTGTGTAGCAGCTGCTACTTAGTGTGGGCCGTTGCTGACTGCATGTTTATAAGGACATGCAAAAAAGGAGCAGGATTTCTAGGAAATGCAAAGAACCCACCCTGACCCAGAATTCTGAGTTTGAAAGGCAGCTCAGCTCAGTCAATTAAGATGTTTTCACTTGATTCAAAAACATTTCGAAGAGACTACATTTCTAACAACAGGAAATGAACAATTTAATAATCAAATGATTTCAGGAACTACTGGGTTCCTCCTCTCTGTTTCTGTGCAGCTTAAGGAATTGGCAGGTGGTGCTGGAGGACACAGGACTCTAATTTGAGATGCCTCAAATTGGTCCACAGGGCACCTGGCCTTTAGGTCCAGCCTCATCCCTAACTTGAGGCTCTGGCAAGTCTCTCTCCTGGACCAGATGATCTTCTGGGCCTTCTTCCCAGTGGTTCTGTTGGAGCAATTCTGCAACATTTGAACTGCCAACCACCCAACTGTGTCCTCAAATCCTTCTTCTGTCTTGGTTCTGTGACTTAGTTCTTTCCTCTCCTCCATCTCCTACCATACTCTCTCCTCTCCTACTGCTCCCTCTTCCCTCCCCACCCCAGTTTTGCTGCCTCCTGTTGTTCCTTTCCTTTTTTCAGTAAGTGTTTTCCCTAGTGACTTTAGCCCGTGCCTCGTTTTCCTCTCTAAAGTTTCCCTAGGAGAACTCATCCTTTAATGATACCTAGACATCTATGGGCTCTCAGACCCCTATATTCATTTATCCAACAAGTTTCAGTTAAGCATCTACTATGTACTAGGCAGTGTGTTAGGTACTGGGGTTTTAAGAGTGAATAAGACAAAGTCCTGCCCCCATGCAGATTACATTTCGGAGTGTGTGAACTGAGTGAGCGAGTGTGTGTGTGTGTGTGTGTGTATGTGTGTGTGTAGGGAAATAGGCAATAAATGAATCAAGAAGTACACTTGCCTTCCTCTTGAACACCTCCCTCTGGATATCCCATGGCACCATTCAAAGTCAACATGCCATCTCTCTATCACCACACCATCTCCTTCTTTGGACTCTTCTGCTTCTAAGCATCCATTCAAGGAACCTTGATTACCACCCCTCCCCACCCCGCAATATGCAAAGTACATCTACTCAGTGAGGGCTGAGTCTTCTGGATACTTACATCCCTGTCGCTCGAGGTGCCCCCCTTGTAGCCTGCTGGGATTTAGTAGCTTCTTGGGTCCACCCCAGAGTCCTGCTGCCCACTCCCAGCATGGCTCTCTCAGCTCTCAAGTAATTTCTTGTTCATCTTGTTGAGGCTTCCTTAACCAATTTCTCAATGCCCAATGTCCTCCTCCCCTATCCCCTTTTACAGATGACTTTCCTCCCACTTCATGCGGCGTATTGGAAGGCTTGTGGGCTCTGGGTCAGGCATACCTGACTCTGATCCTGAATCTGCTACTTTTTAGCTCTGTGATGGTGAGTAATTGTCTTAACCTCCCTCCCTCATGCAATGAGGATTACAATACCCCCTTGAAAGGTTAGAAATAGTGTATACAATGCCTTTGGCACATGTGGGGGGGCTTGGTAAATGGTGACTATTATCAAAATGATTGATGCCAGGTGGTATGAGCTCCTGCAACCTTCCTTCCTAGTTTCTGAAGATGAGGTCCCCCTCCTTCCTCTTGAAGTTAATCTATCTGCCTGAGCCGCAGATCTTCTCTCCTTAGGCTTTCATGTTCCCTCTTCCTCACATCCTCAGTCTCTTCTCTGTGGGTCTCTTTATCCCCTTCCTTCTCCAGCTCCTGCTCTGAACCACTTTTCCCTTCCTCTCTGCCCTCTACCTTTGTGATGAAGGGGTCTCCACTTGGTTTCTCCACTCCTTCACCTCCGGGTCAGCCCTGCGGCTCTGTGAGATCAGAGATCCACTGCCTCTACACTGCCACCAAAATTGCCCCCGTCAGAGCCACCAGAGGCCTCCCAGATGCCAGATCCTGGAGCGTTTTCCCATCCCTCTGTAGCGTCAGATGTTGATGATGACCTCTATTCTTTCCCCATCCCTCTATTTTTCAGCCCTCTTCTTGGATCTCCTGAATTCTATGACAGAGCACTCCTGTGGTCTTCAGCCTCCTTCTCAGACAAGTCTTCTCTCTCTTTCCTTTAAAATGTAGATGTTCCCCAAGTTATCTCTCTCCCTCTTCCTTCTCCTGCTGTGCCTCCTTCCCCCACTGTTTCCCTTGGGAATATCACCTAACCCTATTGATTTATGCCCTTCTTTATTCACAGACACACTCTCTCCACCACTTGCACATTTAAATCTCTGCTGGATATTGTCACAAGGATAATCTCAGATTCAATCTGTCCAAAGATCAATCTCACCCTTGTTTCCCTCACCCAATCATTTTTTCTTCTAGTGTGCCTTGTTCCAGTTGCCTCAGCTGAAAACTCTGGAGTCAGTGATTTCTTTATTCACTCACTCACTCACTCATCTGAATGAGTCTCTGAGCATCTACTCTGCCAGGTGCTGTTCTGGAGGCTGGGCTGTGGTAGGGAAAATGGGAGTCATGTTTGCTCTCACAGCATTCAGTGAGCTGGGGAGGTAGACACTCACAAAAAACTACACAAGGAACTGGTGAATTAAAACTGGGTTGGGGTGCTGAGAAAAAAGTCTGGAGGCCTTCTGCATCTGCACCCTCTTCTACTACGGCTACTAATGTCTTGGTTCAGGGCCTCGACGTTCTGGATCGGTGCATAATCTCTACGTCTGTCCCTCCCTCAGCTCTCATCCGTCCTCCACATGACTGTCCAATTAGTCTTCCTGACGGGCAGATCTGCTCATCAAACACACCCTGCAGTGGCTCGCCACGGCCTTGTTAAACTGACCACAGTCCTTGTGCTGACCTTCAAGTCCTGCACAGTCTAGCACCTGCCTGCCTTGCCGTTCCTTTCCCATCCCTTGCATGTGACTCTGCTTCAGCTATACCTGAACACATATTATATTTGAAAACCACTGGGCATTTGTTCCTGCTGTTTTTACAGCCTGCGAGCCTCTTAACCTCCTCTCTGCCAGTTCAAATCCTAGCTTCACTACTTACTAAGCGACCTTGAGCAAGTGGTTTAATCTTTTCTCATCTGTACGATGGAGACGATAATACCCAAGGCATGTTGTGAGCATTAGACGAGATAAACAAATGAAGTGCTCTGCTGAGTGCTTGACACACAGTAGCTGTGCAGTACATATTGGCTGTCATCATCATCATGATCATCATGATCATCACTGTTAAAGCAGCAGCAACAGCAATATTAATTTTCAAAGCTCCCTCTCAAACATGACTCTCTCTGTAAAATATCCCAGATCTCCTGGGTGAGATGTGATGGTGTCTTCCTCTTCTGAGACCCACGGTACTTTCTAGAGCAGCCTTGCCTGCCTGCAGCTCACGCACTCTGTCCAGCTATGTGTCTTTCCCTTCCTGATCACTCTGAGTTCCTTTCGGGGCAGGGCCTATATCTTGTTCATTTCCCTTATCCCAGAGTCCATAACATCTCCTGGTTCATGGTAGAGCCTCATGACATATTTGCTGTGTTGAATTTAATGTGTGCCAGCGAGTATGTGAGTATATGCATTCAGAGTGTGATCCTGCGTGTCTAGCTCTGAACTTCGGCATCGTGTGAGTCTGCGTGAGCGTGTGTGCAGGCGTGTGTGTAGATATTTTGCCATATGCCTGTAGGAGTGCTGAGGTCGGGCAGGTTGCATGCTGTTGAGGATGTGGGCCAGACCGCCAGGAGGCGCTCCTCAGCGGTTCTGCGGGAAACCTTGGTCTATTCCTGCGCGGGAAGGGTGGTGGTGGTGGTGGTAATGGTTGTGGGGTGGGGGTGGTTGTGATGCTGGGCTGGGGGAGGGGAGACAAAAAGGGGGAGAGAGAGGGGTGCTGCTGCAGCACGTTTCTCTGCCATTAGCGCATCCAGAACCTAGGATACATCTTCAGCTTTCCCTCCCCGACTTCCTCCAGCCTGTCCCAACCTGAAGGCAGCGGAGGTACCTCCTTCAGGCTTGGCCTTCTGAGCCCCAAGCGGTTTCGGGACGACTGGGCCCCGCCATCCGACAAGCAGATTCGGGCACCTGCAGTGTTTGTCCTTGTAGCTGTTTTTCTGTTCTTATGGCTCAAGTCCAGGCTATATTCACCGCAACTCAGCCCAACACTCATTTCCTTTTCACAGGGGACCCTAACGCTAATGGCGGTGGCAGAGACAGGGGATGTCCCTTTATTCCCCCACCCCACCCCCACTCTACGCCCCTGGAAAGGAGAAGCCCTGGGGGAGGGGAAGGAGCAGTGGGGGATGGGAGGGGGTAGGGAACGGGCTCCCTCAGAAAAGCAGAAGTGGCGGGGGCTTCTTGGTTACCCCGCAGTAAAGGATAGGAGTCCAGGCGCCCCTCTCCCGGTCTCCTGCGGAGACCAGCACAGCCAGCAGCTCTGCGCTGGAGCTCGCGGTTGGCCACTGAGAGCGCCCCTCCCCCAACGCACAAAGCTCCAACCCCAAGACCCAGCCTGGTATCAAACTTTGATGGGGTAGGGGGCAAAGTGGGGCCCGCGAGGGCCTCAGATGGGACGGTAACTAATGACCCCGGGCAGAGAACGTGCGCTGGCCAGACCTCGGCTCCTCCTCCTCCGAGGACAAATGGTCCCCTTGGTCCCTCACCTCCAATCGACGTTTGAGGCTTTCCTCCCCTCCACCTTCGGCCTGCCCTCCCCCTTCCCGGCGCCCTCTGACTCACTCGGGGAGCCAGAACCCCTTCGGGGGTGGCTCCCTCCTCCCGGGCGAAGAGGGCTCTGGAGGGTTCCAGGTTAAGCACAGCCTGAAGTAGCTTAGATCGACGTCCCCCCATCCTCAACCCCGTGAGCTCGAAGTTGTTCTCTAGGTTCAGACTTGAGTCTCCCGCCGCCCTCGAGGCGGTCCTGGCTCCCCGCGAGCCAGGCTGTTTCGGGCTTCTGCCGGGAGGTCTCCGGGTCGGGGCCCACTCCTCCTTCCCAGTTTGCTCCGGCTTCACTCCCATTCCTCCGCCTGCTCGCTTTCACCCTGGCGGGGAGCTGTCCTTTCAGCACCACGGCGAGCGTGCCCAGGAGGGTCCCAGATGCTGCCGCGCAGCCGCCCTTTCCGGCTCCCGGCCAGTCTTGGGGAGATGTCCCCTCGAAAGCCGTACTCCCCAGCCTCCCAGGCTGCCCTGCAGCCTCACAGCGAGAGCCGGGACCCTGTTGCCCACAGCCCGGCTCCGCCCTCCCGGCCCGTGGTCAGCACAGACCTGGCGGTCCACGAAACCGTCTGAGCCACTGCAGGGCTCCGGGCGTACTCAGCGAGGCAATTCTTCTGCTATTCCAGCTCCCGCCGCCGCCTCGTGCAACTCCACCAGGCGAGCTGGGGCCGCGGCTCCTGCCGCGGGCGGCTGCCGGAGGCGCCCTCCAATCACGCCCCTCAGCCAGGCCCTGACGTGCTACCGCTCCCCTTCCAGATGGGAAATTCAAATCTCTCTCTCTCTCTCTCTCTCTCTCTCTCTCTCCCCCTCTCGCTCTCCCTCTTTCCTCTGCCTCTCCCTCTCCTTCCTTCTTTTCTTCTCCCCCCTATGTCCTCCCTCTCTCTTCTCTCTTCCTCCTCCCCCTTCCCCTCTCCCTTTTCCATTCTTCCTCCTTAGCCCATCTCTTTTCTCTCTCCAGTCCCCTTCCCCCTCCACCTTTCCCTGTCCCCACCCCGCCAAGACATCCCTCTGCCACTACCCGCCCCACACCCCCTGCAGCCACCTGTCCTGGCCAGAGCTCTTAAGACCACAAGCTTCTTGCTTCAATGCACTGAGGGGAGGATGGAGGGTTCTTTAAAGCAAAGCTCAAAGATCACCTGCTCAGTAAAGCCCTCCTGATTTCCTCCAGGAAGAATTGGTCACTCTCTTCTCGGGACTTCTGCCACCCCTAAACACACACCAGTTTCAGAGGCTTTTCTTCCTCTATTTGCTTGTCTCTTGCCTGTGAGCTCCTGTAGGACAGGTCCACCATCAGAACATCTTTACAGCCCCTTAGCACCATGTCCTGGTACAGGAGTACTCAAGAAACACTGATGGATCATGTGGGTAAGGCCCCAGCAGGGGATAAGGAATCCTTCATATGGATCCAGAGGAAGAAGGCTGCTGCAGAATTCAGTGTAAAATTCAATTCCCAATGCCTTGTAGATCTGATATCCTGTGAAGAATCAGGAATCCTTTGGCCAACTTTATTCTAGAAGGCTATGTCTTTCTCTTGTATGGCCAGGTAAGAAAACGGTCCTCCAAGAGGCAGGGCAACATCTGTCCCCATCCCCCAGGACCTTCCTCCTCCTTTCACATTCATTTCTCATTTTATTACTGTCTCCTAATGAGCCTCTCTATTCTGCCTGCCATCTTTTGGCTCTAAAACGCTTCCTTTAATCCAGACCAATGTGTAAGAAAATGGCTTAGGAAAGGAGGGGCCTTGCATCAGGCCTTTGAAAGATTTGCAGGAGTTTATGCATCAGTCAAGGTTATGTCAGAGTGAAGATGACTTCTGCTTCTGTAAAGGGATGGCTTCCTTCCAAGGAGGGAGCTGCAAGAGCTGCAGAGGGACAGGATTGGGAGAGGAAGGAGGTATGATTTTGTTCCAAAAGAAGGGGACTGTTCCTTTGCAGAAGTTCACAGCAGAGACCTCAAAGTGAAGGACCTCCACAGGTCAGAGGCCATTGGTAGAACCACCCTCCTTGCCTGTCCTCTTCTATGGCTCATCTCTGTTCTCCCCTTACAGGCTATGGGGCTTGGTATAGGGAAGACCCTTTATTTATGGCTGAGTTCTGTTTAACACTGTGTTGGGCCATGAACATGCTTATTTTTAATTTTTCTTCCCTTTCCTGAGGCAGACACTCATGGAGGAGGGGCAGAAGGGAGGCTGTTTGATTAGAGTGACTTAGACTTGCCACTAATGCCTGAGGGGAGATCTGGGCAGGGAGATCTGACATCATGCCATTTCAAGACTCACAGTCCTCCTCCTCTCTCTCCTTCTCCCTCCTTTCTCCCTGTTCTTCTAGAACAGAAGCTCAGTGAATGGGACCTGGCTGGCAGCACTCTAGTTACAATTGGGGTTTTTCCATAATGGGCATTATCTTTAACATGAACATCAACCAAGCTGGGCTAAAAATCCAGCCATCTTTCAGAAAAATACTGAACTCAGTTCTGGATACCGTACTTTAAGATGGATTTGATAAGCTTGTGTATGTTTAGAAGAAAAGGGTGGTTTGATGGTGGGTGTTTGAAAATCAGGCCAAATGAGGGAGAGTTGAAGGATTTGAAGATGTTTCATCTGGAGGGGAAGATGCTGAAGGGGCAGGTCTTGCTCAGTTTGTAATTCCAGCACTTAGCATGATGCCTGACAGAGCTGGTGCTAAGGAAATGCTTGTTGGATGAATGAATGACCGCTGCAAGGAAAGAGGAGTACTCTTGTTTTTACCAGCCCCGAAGACAGAATTGGAGCAACAGGGGAAAGGTAAAGCGAGGCAGACAGAAACTCTATGAGAAAGAATCTTCTCTCAATTGGAGTTGTCCAGCCATAGAATGGACTGCCTCGTATTAGGTAGTGAGTTCCCCATCCCCTGGAAAAATGTCAGCTGGGTGGCAGGTGACAGCTAATGCCCCCTTTGAACTCAAGCTTCTGTGAGTCTATAAAAAATTGTATGAGCTGACATGAATCATGTCTAGCTGCAGAAAATCTTACTGGTGAATAAAAGGACAACTCTGTCAAGCCTTGTTGGCTTCATCCTGTTGAATGATTAGGGGTAAATCAGTGCACTGCAGCCACTGATGCTTTCCTTTGAAGAAAGATAGTGAAAACCTGAGTACTTGCTCCCTGTTCACTCTTGCCAGCCTAGACATGGCTCCTAAATAATGTCCATGTAGAAAAGTCACTAGATATTTTAGCCATTTCCTAATGATTGTAATACTACTAATCATAGCAACCATTAGGCCCCCATTATGTCTCAGGTGCTTAGTTTGTTGCTTTGCATAAATTACATTCTCTCCTTTAGTTCACACAAACCTCTGTTTCCAAGATGGGGAAGTCGATCCCCTGGGAGATACAGTGAGTCTTTGGCATAGCCAGAATTCCAGCCCAGGCCTGCCTGGTGCTGAGCTCTGGGGTCCTTTCACCCCCCTGGGCTGCTTCTCTTCTGACACATCCCACAGCCTATGGAAATGTAACTTTTGCTCTGCAGATTTTTTTTTTCGTTGACATTTATCATCTTCCCTGTTCTCCAGATTCTAAAAAAAAAAACAAAAAACAAAACAAAAAACAAAACACAAAAACCCAAAACCAAAAACCTGCCTTGAATTCACACCCAGATTGGGGTCCTCATGTCATGTGGGTTGTCAGCATCTCCTTCATCTCCTGAATCTCTAATCCAGTGGCTGTGAGTCCCCCCTCCCCTAGCCAGCCTGCTCTGTAGACAGCTTGTAAGAGTCACCTGGTAAAATATAGATGTGGCTCTGCTAAAGATGTCTTACCCTGGCTCGGGCTGAATCTCCACTTTTATTTATAAGCCCTGTGGTCTGGGACGGGGGGCCAGATTTGAACAGATTTTTAAAATTATATGTACATGCCTTGAATGTTCACTAGGAAACCAATCAAGAGAGCTAATGTCAGTGCTTTGTGTGAGGATCGAGGAACAGTGTGTGAAGAATGACAACTGTCAGAGCCCATAAATGCGGTGATCAGTGAGAATGGCGTTTGTCCAAAGGTCAGACCATTTCTGCGCTGCAGTTGCCTTGGTCCAGAGGGTACTCTGGATGCAATGCGGGATGTGAAGAAGAGCCTGCTGGCTGGGCTGACCTCAGCTGGGAGTGAAGCTGGGGGATGCAGGGAGGCCTCAGAATGCTCCTGACACCGACTCTACAACCTGCCATTCTACCTTGAGCCTGGAGGGGCAGAGTTGGTCTTGGTTTGAGGGGGTGGCCTGTGTGCCAGAGGCAGAAACAGAACTGTGGGGGTGGTGCGCAGGGAAGGGCTTCTGGCTACCTTGCTCATCTGATGAGTGCCTCCCTTCTTGTCACTGATAATGGCTATAGTGCCACGGTCAGGATGTGAGTCTGTCTCCTTCACCATGAGTGGCAGTGTGAAGGTAAACCCATCGGTGTGCAGTGGGGCCTGGGCGTGTGTGCCCACCGGGGCAGAGCCATGTAGGGGGCGGTAAGGTCCACGTGGAGGGACGCAGGTGCTCATTGGGCAGGTGTAGGTCTGTTGCTGTGTGATTCTCAGCGTGCGGGGATGTCTCCCTCCCGATGCAGAGCATCCCCGACATGGGTGTATCACCAGGTGTAAAGCCAATCGGGCTGTCGGTACAGTGGAATGTGTTACTGACCTGGTATGGTGGGTCGGGTGCCGGCGTAGTTATCGCCTGCAGCTGGGCAGCTTGTGCAGGGTACAAGCACGCAGAGTGGCATTTACTAGGGCAGCTGCCAAGGCTCGAGTCATGTCACCATTTCTGTGTGATGGTGTATGTCTAAGTGTCACTGTCAGTGAGAGATGACACAGGGGATAGGGAATTACCGTCAGTATGACATGGGGCCATCATCGGCGCCAAGGGTTTAGGTGTGTGTCACAGTGGACTGGCACACGTGTCCCTGTCATTGTTGGGACAGAAAGGATGTGCGCGCGTGCAGCCAGGAGTGTCATCACCACTGCACAGGCATAAATGTGTCACTGAGTGTGACCGATTCCTCCTTTTCCATTTTTTCCCTCCTACCAGAAAGGCCCTTGGCAACCTAACCTGCTAGCTCCTGCCCCACCTGGGAAGCTGTATAAACCTTTGGATTCTCTGTTATCCACTTTTGTTTCCCAGAAAGAGAGTTCCCAGCTCCCCATCTGAACCCTGACTCACTGGTGTGGCACAGAGTGTGTGTGTGGGAATCCCTTGAGGAGCCCCTCTCTATCCCAGAGCCCTGCCCCCAACTTGGAGCCCCTTGCCAGCCCAGCATCCTCCTACCAGCTCCGCAGAGGTCCTCTGCCACCCTTCATCCCATCCCCACCCTCCCAGATCCAGGCACTCATTAGCATGTCAAAGCAGTCCTCTTGCAGCCCACGCGGTGTACCCTGGGATATCCCCGCACAGTTAGCTCCCTCTCATCTTGAGCTTTCCTGAAACCTTACATTTTCATGTCTGCCACACCAGTCTGTGGTTCCCCTACCATCCGGCACAGGGAGGATGCTTTGGGGATAAATCATTCCTCCTTTGCCTGGTTCTTTTTCTAACTCTCTGCTGGGACTTCTGCCTCCCCTCCTCTAATCTAAGCCCTTCCGTCGCTCTACGGTGTGGTTGGATCACCCTTTCCATCAGGAATTCTTCCTGATGATCCTAGATGCTC